ATGCTTTCCTAAAAGGTATATTTAAAATAACAATTATTAAACAAAATATTATTTATAAATATTTTTAACTTTCTATACTAATAAGTGATGTATTACTGTTAATGATACGGCCTATATATATATATATATATCGACAGTCTAGTCACCTCCTATATAATCACAACTTCTATATAATTACATAAAATTTTGAAACAATTTATTAATAGCCTTATTAAAAACACCTCCATATATGCACATTATAATTATAATCACATATTTGTGTAAAACAAACTGGGTGATTATAGAGGAGGACGACTGTATATATAAACGATCCTGATTGAGTTACCTTACGATCAGGAGAACTAAAAATACGGCAATAACTGGTTAACATACCATAAAATTATCGTTATTTTGATTTATTTTATAAGCTGATCATGGAGACATATGCACTTACGAAAATCTAAATCTATTCATCCTAACTAAATCTTATTGTCCGTTGTATACGTATCAGTGTTAGCCATTTTTAGGTCACACTTCATATTACTCGAGTAGGCACTAATAAAAAAAAAGTTTAAATACGATCAGGGTTGTCAACTGGTTCGAAAAAATTATTAATATTTGCCGACGATGTCTTAATAATTATAATAAAGTTCAAAGTATGTAGAATGTTTATTTAAAGTGATTATAATTCAACAACACAGCCATTCGACCCACAGAAGACCGCTCTTTTCAACTATTTTTCAACGATTATGTTTTGAAAAATCTTAGCAACAAATACATATGTATATATTATGCATTTATACGTATATGTATAGCACCGAGATAAATAGCATATCGAATTCGGCCGAATAGACCTCGGCAAATTTTTTTAGGGTGTCATGAAAACAGCTGTTTTCATAAATTCTGGGATACCTAAAAATTTTCTCGTTTCCCGGAATCTTTTCGGTTTCGTCCGGGTAAATTACCTAACTCTCCAGAAATTACATCGCTGTCTCCGGACTGAAGGTTCGAAAATAGCGACGTAGTTTCCAGAGAGCTAGGTAATTTACTGGACGAAACCGAAAAGATTCCGGGAAACGAGAAAATTTTTAACTGTCCCAAATTTTATGAAAACAGTTGTAACCCGGATTTAATCATTAAATTCGGATGCAAGAACAGTTGAAGTAGTCATTAGGAAGTTGTGCATCATCAGGTCGGCTTCTTGGATACGTAATATAAGGTTATTAATATAAATACTTTTCTAAAATATAATACATACAAAATTATAAAATAAACTTGTCAAACCTTTCTGAAGAATGAGGCCGTCATATTTCTTTTGTATTACGTTTAGAATTATCAAACTTTTTTTGCCTTTTTTTCAAGCTCTTGACGGCAATTACACTAATAAGTGAACGTTGTCTTTTTGTTTGCTTAATATAATGCTTCTTATGATAAACATAAAGGTATCCGTCACCTTTCTCACAGAGCCTTACAATCTCAATCGCTATTAAGTATGCATGTGATTCATCAATAATTTCTAATTTATCTATTCGATTTTACAAATTTATAATTGCATTGAGATCATTCGTGCACTCTCTTCTTCCATATAATTCATAGTTCTTTATATCGATATCTTCAGGCTCTAGCACTTTCTTATATTCTGTTTTTAACGTTTCCGTTTTTGCCTTTATTTATACGGGTTAAGCATTCGATACATGTTTCTTTATTGGTTTCAAATTCATTAATTTGTTTTATTACGAACATTTTTTTTGAATTCGATTGATTCCATTAATGAAATATTTGGTAAGAAATTTTACAATATATAAACAGACAACGTCATTATTAATTCAAAATTTCGGTAATCGTGGACCACCAAAATCAGGCACGTAAATCCGGAGCTTAAATTTATTCACTATTATCATAAAGTTTCATCGATCCAGTTTTTTTTTTTTTTAGCGGGAGCCCGAGAGTTTTTTTTTAGTGGGAGCACTAGGGTTTCATCATTTTGAATTTGGGTTTCGTCTTTCGTCAGTAGAATTTGAGGTTTCGTCTTTTGTCAGGGGTTTCGTCATTTTGGGGCTTAGGTTTCGTCTTTCGTCACCAAGCAAAAAAGGTTTTGTTTAGCAACTATAGTTTGGATTCCTAAAAATGTTTCGCTAGTCATGCCTAACATTTCGAAATAGTGCAAGATTAAAAATATCTGAAAGGTTTCTTACCATCTTTCTCGTCCATTTTTCTTGATTTAAGTTTTCTAGCCAGGACCAAGCGTATAAACTAAAAAAAATTAAAACTGTCAGTACAAAAAGTGGTGAACTATGTACGTACGTACGTACTAACGCTAGTTTTCAAACCTACTTTTGGATATCCCTGTTATCCATTCAGTTCTATGACGACATTCGATTTTCTTCTGTGTAAAACCCGTGATTATTACCTGATCGTCACATCACATTACTAACAGATATAAATCCAATCATTTTTTGTCGCCTCTATTAAACCTAAGATATTGACGTATTTTAATTCAATTATTGAATAATTAACATCACCAAAATCATATCCGCAAATCCAAATCTACCATTTCCTTTTGGTTAGATATTTTCATCAATAAGCACAATTCTGGAATCATGTTATTTGGCAATAGAAGTTCCATAACTGCTTGTAATACCGCTTCATTTGCACTTAACAGTGGATAACTTGATCGCTTCAAAAACAAGGCTTACCACATGCACATATACTTATAATTCTTACTCCAGAAGATAAACCACAAACTTCTGATGATTATGATAATTTAATTTCTGCTGAGATTCCACATCCAACTACACAATCTCAGCTTTATGAAATTGTTACTCAGTCCTCGTGGATATTTAAAACGGTCTTCATGTATGAAGGATGGCGATTTAAAAAAATTTAATAGGAATATTTTTAGATTATTGATATCGTTCGTTGATTCTACAGGTTGATTCTTGAAATCGATGTGAGAGTTTATAGAATTTGTGTATGACATAGTATTCTTTTTTCTTTTTTTTGGTGTTCATATGGTTGTTTTCTTTATTCTTAGCTTCGAACGACTGTATGAAAAGGAAAAAAGTAATTATATTAAAATCATCAGAATAGTTAAGTGCAAAGCATGCAACAAACATAGTCGCACACCCAATATAAACACAATGGGACCTGTAAAGGTGTTCTTATATAGAAATATGCTTACAATGTGCTTAAATACTTAAAATATGCTTATATAGAAATGTATTAGAAAGTGCTTATATAAAAAATATGCTCAGAAAGTGCTTATATAAAGTTTTTTTAAAAAAATATTTAACAGTAGTTGGTTCAAAAAATAATGTCTTATAAATAGAAAGTGCTTATGTAGAAAGTGCTTATGACCGTAATTCTAACTCGTAAGTTCATTTTCATAGAAGGCATGTAACCAACTCCTTTTCCGAAGCTTTTAGTTGACCTCCTCCTTCCGAAGAAATATGTAACGGCCAGCATGCAGGGGACCACACCCCTATTGTGATTACACGCACTCGAGTTCAGCTACTTGCGCACAAGAGCCTGGCAAAAAAGCCCCACTCCAAAATAACTTTGTTTTAGAGAAACGCATGAAATATATGAAACTTACTTTTTTCTCATTTAAGAGTCTTCTGGCTATTGAAAATACGGTATAGAAAATTCGAATAAGTTATATAGCAGAACGAATTCACATCTCAGATTCAATAACTTACCAGGTGAAAGCCCAATTTTTTTTGCTTAATAAATTAAATAATGATTTACTTAAAAATTGAACGCAACAGTTATATTTATAGGTATGGATTTACTTTGCCTGGTATTATTATGTACGCGTGTCGACAATGCCGTTTCTATTCACGTGATTTAATCATGAGAACTGACACAGCCATCTCCTTCTGATTGGATGAAATCGATAATCCCAATAATACCGATTTTACTTATTTTGTGCGAGTAATACGTACACTATTTGTTAGGCTAGGGTTAATTGAATAGAATAAGCATCTATTCAATAGTAAAAAATAGATGTCACATTCTCTTTAAGCTAAATCAACTATCATGCCTTTGACGAGTTGCCTTATTGTATATTTTTATTGTATAAATTATTGTCGGGGAAATTACAAATAAGGGCCCAAAACTGAAAATAATTACAAATAAGGGCCCAAAATGAAAATAGAGGCCCGAATTTTGAAAATTATTACAAATAAGGGCCCAAATATATTGTAAGCTAAAAAAGTCAGTTTAAACATAATAACATCATGATTAATTAGACGTTTTAGAATTTCATTATATCGAATTTATTAAAAAATAAATTGCATTATCAGCGCAATTTTGAATGTTACTATGCAAGCCTAATTGCATGTTATAGAAATTATTTAATATTAAATAAAATACGCATACTATTTTCTATTTCTAAGTCTTCGACTGCATGTATACGAATTATGCCCTTTTTATTACATTTTCCACAAGTAACCTGATTTTCTGGTGCCATTTCTCTTCGTGGCCATCCTGC